ATGTTAAATAATTGGAAAATGAGTAAATGCATTATGATACATCCAAATGATAGAATATTTTAAATCAAATACATTCGACAACATTTAAATTTTTTTTTTTTTTAACGTTTATTTATTTTTGGGACAGAGAGAGACAGAGCATGAACGGGGGAGGGGCAGAGAGAGAGGGAGACACAGAATCGGAAACAGGCTCCAGGCTCTGAGCCATCAGCCCAGAGCCCGACGCGGGGCTCGAACTCACGGACCGCGAGATCGTGACCTGGCTGAAGTCGGACACTCAACCGACTGTGCCACCCAGGCGCCCCCATTCGACAACATTTAAAGGTATAGCAGGCATTCATAATAAAATGTCAATGCAAAAAGCAGAATTCAAAGTTTAAATACAATGGTTCCGGGTTTGGTTTATTTATTGATTTATTTTTAAAGTTTATTTATTTTGAGAGAGAGAGAGAGAAAGAGCACAAACAGGGGAGGGACAGAAACAGCGAGAGAATCCACAGCGCCTGATGTAGGGCTCAATCCCACCAATCTCAAGATCATGACCTTAGCTGAAGTCAAGAGTCAGACGATTAACCGACTGAGCCACTCAGGTGCCCCTGGTCTTGTTTTAAAAGAAAGAGAGAAAGAAAGAGAGGAAGAAAGGGAAGACCTACACCCGAATAAATAAATAACTGTGCTTATCTCTGTGTGGAGGGATTATTGGTGATTTCTTTTCTGCTTTTCAAATTTTTTTCTGTGCTTTCCAAATCTTTAGAATGGATATATAGCTTTTACAATTTGAAAACATTTTTTTGAATTATCACTCTTATAGGCATGTACAGAATAGAGGCTTATGTAGGGCAGTAAGAAAAAAATGAGACAACTGATTGACTATTATACTAATCCAGGAGAGAAGGATAAGATTTTTAGCCAAGGCATAAGCAGAAGGCATATAGAGAAGCAGGGGCAGATTATAGAAATATCAAGAGTCAGCACTGAGAAGATCTCATTTTCTGTTAGATATGGGTGAAATCATCAAGAAGAAATCTGGTTTCTTACTTGGGCAATCAGGTGGAGTGTGTACTGATCTCAGAGAGAGACACAAGACAGGGAAAGGGCAATTTGGGGGACAGAGTAGTAGAGACGAGGAGGTCTGCTTTGCATGTGCTGAACTTCAGGTGTTTGTGGGAGGTCGAGGTGAACACCTCCAGTGAATAACAGAAAAATAGGTTTGCGGTCCAGTTATCCATTCATTCAACAAATATTTATTGAGTATCTACTACATGCCACACAGTGTTTTAGCTCTCGGCATGTAGGAATGTACAAAACAAAATAGTGCTTGCATTCCAGTTGGGGGTTAGTAGGCTTTTTGGAGTCAACAACTGGCGGAGGTGGAGAAAGCCAGTAGAGGTGGATGAGACAAATGGTCCAGTGGGAGAATGTAGAATGTGAAGCGTACTTATTGGGGATCACAGTCAGTCAGGCTACTTCTTTTTCATAGTGTAGGGAATTGAACCGCTTTGGTAAGCGTCTGCAAACCCCCTACATATGACTACTTTCTGGCTGCAGTCAACTCCCAACCTAGCTGCCACTTCTGTGAGAGGTGGGCAAATCACTCTCTCTTAGATTTAGTTGTCGTATCTCTAGAATAGAAGTAATATGACTTTAACCTGCATCAGTGTAACTTTCCTGCTTCAGGACCTCTGTACTCTCCGTTCCTTCTGCCTGGAATGCCCTTCTTTTTGTTCTTCCCCTGCTTGGCTCCTTCTTGGCATGTAGGTCTCTCTTTAATAGTTTTGCAGAGAGGACTTCCATGATCCCCCCCAGTATAAGTCAGTATAAACCCAGGCCCTTGCTACTCCAATACCCTCTTCTAATCAGGGCCTGGAATTTTACTGATTGTTGGTTCTCCCACACTCCTACCAGAATGTGCCATGAGAGTATGGATCAAGTCTGTCTTGTTCTTTGTGATAGTCCATCTCCTAGAACAGAGCCTGGCTCAGAGAAGGCAAGCAGTAATTTTTGAATTATTTTGCATTCAAATTTTGAACTATTTGAATAATTTGGAACAAGCAAATAAGGGATGTTCCAACTTTAGGAGTAAACATTAAAAAACAACTATTGAACATTTCCATGTGCCAAATACCTTGTTAAAGTGCTGGGGATGCAGAATCAAATATTTGCTTCTTATTTGCAGACAGGTATACAATCTCATGAGAGATACAGACCTCTACAGAGCTATCATAAGAGAGTGAATAAAGGTGAGCAGAGGTTTGAGTTGGTGTGAGGACCGATCTGGAGATGTGTTGTATGCTTGGAGAATGGAACTAGGTAGTCTCAGGGCTCCAAACTGGAACACTGGGATTGTGGTGTTAACTTGATATTCTGACCCACAGCTTTGATTGATGGAATAATAAATAGGACAGGAGAATGGGTCAACTTTGAAGTCTACAGTAGACCGTGAACCTTACATCTGTCTGGTAGGTCGTATACAAATGTGTATGCAGAAACATAGCATCTTTTGAATTAAAAAAAAAAAATCCCATCTCAGTGTGAAATAAAATTCAGAGTTGGTATATACCTACAGTGGAATGTTATTCAGTCTTAACAAGGAAGGAAATTCTGACAAATGCTACAAATGGATGAACCTTGAGGAAATTGTGCTAAATGAAATAAACCAATCACAAGGACATATAAGAGATGATCACCCTTATCGGAGTATATAGAATAGTGAAAGTAATAGAAACAGAAAGTAGAATGGCAGTTGCCGGAGACTGGGGGAGGAAAGAATAGAAAATTGTTTAATGGATATAGACTTTCAATTTTGTAAGATGAAAAACTTCTGGCAATTAGTTGTACAACAATGTGAATACACTTAACACTATTAAACTGTACCCTTAAAAATGGTTAAGATGATAAACTTTATACTATGCCTATCTTACTATATTTAAAAGTTAAAAAAATAAAATAAAAACTCATTGTGTGGCTGGTGATGCAGCCGTATCTGGATCTGTGTTATTCTGGTCTCCTGAGAAGTTAAAGAACTCAGAAAAGTCTGTGTTCCCAGTGAGAGCTCCTCCTGCTCCAGATTTTGTGGACCCCATGAAAGGGGAAAGGGGAAGCTAAGGCTCAGAGAGGTTGTGTAACTTGGGGAAGCTCACACTGTCAGCAGAGACTAGGTCCCATGAGTAGAACCCAAGTTTTTTTATTTTATTATTTTTTCTTATGTTTATTTATTTTGAGAGAGAGAGAGAGCGTGAGAGAGCATACATGGGGGAGGGGCAGTGAGAGAGGGGGGACAGAGAATCCCAAGCAGGCTCCGCACTGACAGCAAAGAGCCCAGTGCCAGGCTCGAACTCACAAACTGTGAGATCACAACCTGAGCTGAAGTTGCTCAACCAACTGAGCCACCGGGGCACCCCAGGATCCAAGTTTTTGACTCCAGTTCAGCGCTCTTCCCATTCCACTGGCCGTCAGGGTCAGGGTCAGGGTCGGCCTCTGCAGTCACTTCACATCCTGATGCTGCCTGGAGAACACAGTTTTCTCCATAGCAGAGAATGCATTCCCTTGACGTCTCTGCCCAAATATCTAATAGACACCTCACAATACCCTAAACTGAGCCCCTGATTTATTGTTATCCAATGATACAGTTTTGAAAACAATTTTTGATGGTAGTTCGCGATGTGGTTTTGGAACGTGCCTTAGAAGGAATTCAAAGAATTGAGTCACATTCTTACAACAAACTCTTTCCCCACATACTTATTTTTGAGAATAAGGTTTCTCAGTGCTGACATCTGTAAATATGAAAAACAGGAACAGATTTGATGCTTAACCTTGTGCCATTCTAGCAATAAATATATGCCAATGGATACATGAACTGAGAAAATCCTCATAGATCTCATTATGAGATTCATTTCCAATAAAATTTTACTTTATACGTTTCAGAATTATTTTTAAAAATCCATAGTATATTTGTTGTTTTGGTCAATTGTGTACTACTGATAATTATTATAATTCAGATGGAATTTTCTTTTTAAATGTTTTAATGTTTATTTATTTTTGAGAGAGAGAGAGAGAGGGCGCGAGCGAGCCCGTGAGCAGGGAAGGGGCAGAGAGAGAGGGAGACAGAACCTGAAGCAGGCTCCAGGCTCTGAGCTGTCAGCACAGGGCCCAATGATCCTGACCTGAGCCCAAGTCAGTCGCTTGACGGACTGAGCCCCCCAGGCACCCCCAGATGGAATTTTCTGATACTTTGAACCACATGGACACGGGAAGCAGAACATTTTTTATATTTCCATTTATATCCATGTTTTGTTAGATATATGGTATGATGATGAATAAAAGACTTTGAATCGAATAATCTGCAGTAGGCTAAGATTCTGGAAGGGAGGTAAATAGGATAAAAATAAGAGTTCAAGGAATAAAAGGAACTATGCAAAATTTCTGATTCTGTAAATCTTTCATTCTTGCAAGCAACAGAGTGCTATATTTAAATTCACGTGGATACACTTAAAATAGTAAGTGCCTTTATAATTCCAATATTTACAAATTGCCATAAATTATCATGTTTGCAACTATTTAAACTTAATATGAACAATTTTAGACGTTAACTTAAAAATCGGCTTTGGAGTACATGATTCGTCTATGTTCTTTCGGGCGCAGGTGAACCTAACAAGTTTGACGGCCACTGGCATTAAGCGTTCTTGATGAGTCGCTCTGTAAAGGGGGCAAACGGGTAGGTAGCCGGAGGAAATTAGGGTACCAAGAGAGATTTTTGGTTTTTGGCTCGGCTTTGGTTTGCTTTTGTTTTTGAAGATAGGAGAAAACTCGAGAGCCGAGGGCAAGGATTTGGAAGCCAGGGGCAAATGATGGTGGGGGTGGGGGGTGGGGAGAAGGGAAGGGCATGCGCACAGAGTACCGGCGAAAGCAAGGCCTAAGAAAAGGGCCGGGGCGACCCCGCAGACCCCCAGGCGCGGGGGCGGGCAGAAGTCTGGCTGCCTTAGACGAGGGGGTGGGGGAACTAGGTGAAAAGTGTCCTTTCTGGCCCGATTGCACCTACCTCCGCAGTAATATCCCGGCCAAACGAGCCGCTGTGAGGAGAGCGAAGGTGCCGGGCTGATAAGAGAGTAGATGTGCAATGTCCTTTAGAGGAGCGGGGAAGAATCCTCCCGGGAAATCCTGAAGTTCCTCGCAGGAATTTATCGACACCAGGCAGCAAGGCAGCTTGCTCCCGTGCTGCGTTCCCGGGGCGGGACGCAGGTGAGGGCGGCCGGGGGTGGGCTTTAACCAGCTTGGGGGTTGCCAGGTGCGGCCCGGGACGGGTGTGGGGGATGGGGCACAGGAGTTGAGGCCGAGTAAAGGTGATGGAGGCTAGCCTTGGAGCTGCGGAGGGAGGACATAGGTATGGGTGATGGGAGCGATGGATTGTTAAAGCCGTGGGGGTGAGGTATGGATTTTTCTTTTCAAAATATTCATATATATATATATATGCCTTTGAGACTGTCCAATTCTTTTTTTTTTTTTTTTTCCTTTTTGCAATAGCCTCTGCGGTCATTTTCCCGTGAGGACTACCCTCCGCCTTTCGGGAGAAGGTGAGTTGCGCTTTTCCTAGCGCCTTTTCCGCCGGCCGCGAGGCCCGCGCCCGGTGGTGGGTCTCCGCCCGCTTTCCCGCGCGCCCGCCGCCCCCGGCAATGCACTCGGGCGGCTGGAGGCGGAAGGAGGCGCTGATTGGAGGCCTGAGTGCGGGGGCGGGGCCTGCCCCGGCTGCCGGGCGCCGAGACCCCGCGGTGAGCTCGTCGCGCGCCTTTCTGGGCGTCGTGGGCGCCGGAGCCCTGCCTCCGGCCCGAGTGTCCCGGGGTGGAAGTGAGGCCGGCTGGGACCCAGTTCCCTGCTTTTCATCCCCAGGCCCACAGTTTAGACTGCGGGTGCGGAATTCTGCGGCAGCGGCGCGCTTTCCTGGGAGCGTCTTTGGGGTGACCCCGATCACAGCAGCAGGGTTTTGTTTGGCGTGCTTTTCCCCAGCCCCCGCCTCGGGTGGGACGCTGGAGGGCGGGGCAGGCACGGGCCCAATGGGAGCAGCTCAGGGCTTCCAGCCAGGTCTGGTTTTGAAAAGAATGGGGTCAGTAGGGTGGTTGGTTGAACGTTAACTCTTTGTGGCGGTGGTTTATCCGTGGGGGAGGCGGCAGGACGATTTGGATCTCCAAGCTGCACAAAGCACAGCGTGCGGTCCTCCAGCCCCGTGTTTCGTGCTTTCTGCCACAGCCTGGGACGTTTCTGGAGAAAAAGGCGACTTCCAGCCCTTTCTAGTGACTTGTGCTCCAGCTCCTGGCTGTGCCTGCGTGGAATCCTCACACCCCTATGATGTAGATACTAGTCTGCCTTTTTTAAGATAAGGCAGTCGAGGCTTAGAGGGTTGAAGTGACGTACCCAGTGTCATCTAGAATTCGGCTTCGCCCAGATCTGCCTTAATAGCCTGGGCACTTTGTAATACTCCACCTGGGACATGCCCTCCAGGGGTAAGGGCTTTGCAAGGGTGGGGAGAGGAGGGAAACTGATGATTAGGGAATCAGTAAGTATCTGGGGAATGCTCAAGGCAAGGGAAGATTCCAGTGGTCATTTTTGTGTGTTGGCTTGTTTCTGTGTGATACAGGGAAGCATTCCCAGACGAAGTTAAATGTAACCTGGCCACTGAAGACGAGTAGGGAGTTCCATGGCTGAGACAGGTTCCAAGGGGCATGTATCGGTACCCACAGGATGGACTGACTAGAAGATTCTTAGGGAGCCCCCACCCTTTTATTTTACTGAGGAAATAAATAGAGGCCCAGAGAGGATGAGATCACAGAACAGGAATGACAAAATGGCCTGGAACACAGGTTCTCTACCCTTTAAGGTGTTCTCTGGATTTCTTAATAACTGAGGGTCCGACTTCTGTAAGAGTAGTTCACTTGTTTAGCACATACTAAATAAGTTACTTTATACACTTGCATTTCTTTTAGTCCTCATAACAACTCCATGAGGTATTGGACCAAATATAGTATTTTTACAAGTATTTTACAGAGGAGAAAATTGAGACAGAAGGAACTTACCCAAGATCACAGTGCAAATCTCAGCCCAGAGCCCAGGCTCTTGACTACTCTGTTATCTGTCATGATAAGGAAAGTAGATAAGGAAAGAAAGGCATGATGAAACAAAAAACAAAAAACCTTTCACAGTAGAAATGTGTCTCACCCCCACATTCAGATGAAGACCTGAGGCTCAGAGATGTCCGGTGCCCGAGGTCGCAGAGTGAAAAAGTGGTGGAACCGGCCCTGGAGACCAGTCCTGGGTTCTCTCTGCTCCGTCTAGTGTAACCCCGCCTTATAGAGAATTGATCACAGCCCTCCTTCTCCTGACTCCCATCTTTCTGACACTGCCCTTGGGGATTTTGGCCTCAGCAGGTAAAATAGCTCCACTTCTGGCTCCAGAAGGGGTCAAATACCACTTTTCCCATAATGAATTTCCTGCTCAAACAAGACAAGGACCTGGATCTCCTGGCTGCCAACGTGGTGATTTTCTGTGTTCCTCCTTGCTTTCTCCTGTGCAGCATGCCTTCGGGGGATCTGGATCACATCATCCCAGAAAACCAAAGTGTGAGATGCTTTTGGCTCTGCGACCCCTTAGAGAAGCCATTTGGTAAAGCAACTTTGGTTTAGGTTTGCAGGATGAGAATCAGGGGGGCAAAACCTGGTCAGGATAGCCGGCACCGTAGGCATGGGGCCTGCTGGAACTTAGAATCTCTTAAATCTGGGTGGAGAGTGACCAATAGATGGAGTTATGAATTGGGGGTGCAAAACTGAAGTCCCTCCCCCCCAAATATTTTTGTTCATGAGTGACCTAGTGGATGAGGTGCGTGCAGTTCTTAAAATTAATTTAGCCACTCTGGCTTGTCTTCACTGCTAACTAAAGTGTCTCTGAAGGCTTGGCTTCAAGAAGGGATATTTAGAAGGAGGGCTTCTACTGTGGAAGGCAGCTCTGCCCTCGATTACAGGAGGTCTGGGGGGGTTTTGAGCCCGCTCTGCCGCTCACTGGCTTTGTGACAGTGGAAAAGGCAATTCCCTTGTCATTCACTAACATTTCTTGTACTACTGTGGGCCTTGTCTAACAAGACAGCCCCTATAGTGGACACACTCACAACCTCGAGGGGGAAACCGACAAGGCCAGACATTGTGAGTGGATCCTAAACTACCCTGGGGTATGGGAACAGAGCCCCTGGAGGAGCTGATGGCAATAGGACCACAACAACCCTAGTAGTGGAGCCTTCATGAAAATTTGAAAAAGGTGCCAACCTCCGCTCCCCCCCCCCCTTTTTTTTCTGGGCATCCCCATATCAGATCGCACCGCTTGGCAGGCGGAGCCCTTTGGTGCCTCCAGTCACCGCCCCCCTGGACTGGTCACTCCTGCTTTGTGAACAGCTTGCAGATCTGAACACTGCAGCCCTGAATGTCAAGACCAAGGTGTAGAGGTCCAGCAGAAGACATAGGTGGAAGAGTCCATTTCAGGCCAAGGAATAAGCATGTGTAAAACCTGCAGGCTTGGGAAAGAGCTTCCTTCATTTGGGGACCTGCAGGTGGTTCACTGTGACCAGAAGGGAGAGTGCGTGGTGTCCTGGGGGCCTTGAAGAGACAAGGTTGGAAGATTGGCAGAGCCGTTTATTCACTTATGAAGTAAATAATCAGTGGGCGTCACTCCAAGTTCAGTATTGTAGACATGAGGGAAATAGTAGTGAACAAAGTCTTCACAGTCCCCTGCCCTGGAGGAATTTGTGTTGTAGTGAGATCCTGTTGGGCCTCTGGTGTCTGTTATAGTATCATAAGGGTCCTTCCCTCTAGGATTGTATGTAATGAGATAATGTGTGTAAAAACCCTTTGAGAACCGGAACTTCTGGATCATTCCTTTGAGTAAACACTCTTTTTTTTTTTAATTTATTTTTTTATTTTTTACATTTATTTATTTTTGAGAAACAGAGTGAGACAAAGCGTGAGTGGGGGAGGGACAGAGAGAGAAGGAGACACAGAATCTGAAGCGGGCTCCAGGCTCTGAGCCAGCGGTCAGCACAGAGCCTGATGCAGGGCTCGAACCCACGAACCGTGAGATCATGACCTGAGCCGAAGTCAGACGCTCAACCGACTGGGCCACCCAGGCACCCCTAGACACTCTTTAAAAAACATTTATTTACTTATTTATTTTGAGAGAGGGAGACAGCATGTGCAAGTGGGAGAGGGGCAGAGACGGGGGGGGGGGGAGAATCCCAAGTAGGCTCTGTGCTATCAGTGCAGAGCCCCATGCGGGGCTCGAACTCATGAACTGTGAGATCATGACCTGTGCTGAAATCTAGAGTTGGACACTTAACTGACTGAGCCACCCAGGTGCCCCAACACACTTTTAATCTTAATCTTTGTGGCCAGCACCAGTGCCCAGGCATTTGGGGGTCTGTTCCTGACACTAGGCACCTACCTGATCCTACTTTCTGGGTAGAAGTGACCTTTGGTCATGATCACAATGTGACACCTTCCCTTATCTGTTGTCATGGCCCATCCTGCCCAGGAGAGAAACCATCTCTTTGTGGGTCAGCTGAGCAGGCTGGCTAACCTGTGACTTTCTGGGGCCTGTATGGGAATTCACCAGCTCATCCTTAGGCTGGGAGCACCTGCTGTGGTCAAAGCTGCTTTCTCTTCTGGCTGTGGAGATGGAGAGTTACTTAAAACTTATGAACAAAAGGGAAGCTCCATCTCTGGGGTAAGAGTGGGCTGAGGGACTCCAGGAAGCCTTGTTGGGATGTCCCCAGCTTAGAAGCTGCATGGTCTGCTCAGTAGGTCAGATTCAGGTGAAAGGCTGCTTTTTAGGCCTGGGAACTGGTCTTCTTCCTCATTGTGTGGTTGTGGGCAAATCACTTCCTCTTTCTGGATATTAGGTCCCTCCTCTATTAACAAGAAGGTTTCACTTAGTGACGTGTGATCAGCAGAGCTCTTTGAATTCTTCTGTGGAACCCCAATATATAAACCAGATGAAAGCCATGGGGTTGTGGCCTGAGGTTCTGCTGATTTTAGCTTTAGATTTCAACTTGTCCTACTCATCCTCTCAGGACTTTTGAGTCCTAGACATTGCCCTGGAGGTATAGTGCAATTTAGTTTGAAACAACCGAATCAAACATTTTCCCTGTAAACTGGCTTCTCAGGTCCCTGGGCTCAAGGTAGGGGTGAAGGCAATTAAAAAGTCCTGTGATAATTTTATAATTTTGTGTATACATTAAGTGATTATCCAACGCTCTAGCCATTACATATAAACGTAATCCAGATTATCTTGATGGCCCTCCCTCACCCCTTTTTCTCATGGATAGACATGAAATTTCAGTCACTCCCTTGGCATTTATATGTATGACTGTGGCAGCAGCCTGAAAACATCTAAAATTTCTCCCATTTCACTTTCTGTGCAGTGTGTTTCCCAAACTGGGGAATCTGTGAATTTTTTTTTCTTTAAATGGGATGTATTTGTTAGAAGACATAAACAAGATAGGAATTTATTTCTTTCTCAAATATAAAGTCCAGATAGGCAT